GCTCCATAGGGAATGGGCTCCCTAGAGTAAAGGGAGTTCAGGGAGTCCTGCAGAGGAAGGGGAGGAAGGATCAGAGGATCCAGAGAACACAGCCCACAGAATCAACTGGCCTGGACTCATGGGGGCTCAAAGAGATCAGGGAGCATGACCTAGGTCATGAGAGTAGGGACCTGACCTAGGTCCTCTGCATGTATGTTGTAGCTATGTAGCTTGGTGTTCTTGTGGGACTCCAAACAGTGGGAGTGCGACAGTCTCTGACTCATTTGTCTGCCTGTGAGACCCTTCTCCACCTACTGGGTCACCTCCTCCGGCCTATGATGGTATGTGCCTGGCCTTATTATATCAATTTTATGCTGTGTTTGGCTGATGTCCCTGGGAGGCCTCTTCTTTTCTGGTGGGAGGTGGGTGGTGGACCTGGGGGAGAGGGGAAGTGTAGGGGGGGTGAGACTGAGGAAGATGTGGGAGGGAAATTGTGGTTGGGATGTAATATATATGAGAGAAGAATAAAAATACATAAAAATAATAGTATTTTTTAAATTAAAAATAAGAGATTTTGGACAGTAAAACTGGAATCTGATGATTAAAACTGACCCAAATGAAAAGGTGAAATAGACCTGAAGGTGGCAATGAGGTCACAGCTCCCATCTTATTGATGGATGCTATTCCAGCTCCATCTCATTAGAGCAATCAGAGAAAAGACCTGGAAATGTACTTGTAACCATTACAATGGAAAAGTCCACTTTCTAGGCCAAAAAGATTCAGAATGCTTCTCCACTACAGCCACGAGGTTCTGCAGCCTAGTGCTCCCTGGAAATTTGTTAGTGAAAAGTAGATGGTCAGCAACTCAGGGAGACTTCAAACTTCTACGCTCCACATCTGCCATGCCAATGTCTCCTTTGTTTCTTTCCCTGCTGCCAGGACACTCAGTGATTATTCAGTGCTGCAGTCTGCTGTTATCAGCGGTGTAGAGGGTGAATGAAGGTATTCCGTAATAAGTCAGTCTGTAATATCGTGTGTCATTTGTCTTTATGAATGTCTTGTCAAAGCTTTAATGGAGTGTGACAGATATACTCGGTGCATTTGTTTAAGTTCAGGCTCTAGAGTGCATTAAAGGAAGAGAGCTGGCCTGTCTTTGTCTCTTGTTTCATTGAAGGAATCCTTAAGTTAAAGAATATTTTGGCTTCTGTGTATGGATGTTTTGCTTGCATGTGCACCTGGCATCACAAGCGTATAGTGTCCAAGGAGGCCAGAAGTGGGTGCCCAATGCCCTGGAACTTGATTACAGAGAACTGTGAGCTGCCATGTGGATGCTGGGAATCAAACCTGGGTCCTCTGAAGATCAGCCAGTGCTTTTAATCTTAAAATACTTTAAAAATATTGCATCTGATTTGTGTGTGTGTGTGTGTGTGTGTGTGTGTGTGTGTGTGTGTGTGTGTGTGTGTCTGTGTGTGTCTGTGTGCACATACATACATATGTATGGTAGAGGTCATGGAATAACTTGCAGGGCTTTGTTTTCCCTTTCCGGTGTGTGAGTCCCATGGACATAGCTAGATCATTAGCTCTGGCAGTGAGTACCAAGTTCTTTTACCACTGAGCCATCTTGCCAGCCCCAGACTTTGTATTTTAAACTAAGGTAGGTCCAATGTTAATGCTACAACTTTTTTCTCTTCCTATGTACAGGATCTTTATAAGTCATTGCAAGCTCTCCAGTGGCATTGGTGTGTGTGTGTGTGGTATTTTCCCTCACGGTTTTTTTTAGTTATTTCAGAATTTCATACAGTACATTTTGGTCATATTCATTCACCTCCATTCTTCCTACTCCTCCTAAATTCATTTCATTTGTCTATTAACACTACTTTGGGTCCTTTTTTTTAGTTTATTTTTTAAAATTTCTTTTGCATTCCAACCATAGTTCTCCCTCCCACCCTCCCCTCCTGCCACCCCTTGCCTCCCTTCAGCCCTTCCCTCATCCATTCCTTCCACAGGGAAAGGGCTCCCAGGAAAGAGGGACAAAGCCTTATGGGCCAGGCTTTTTGGTTTTTTAAACCACAATGTTCAGTTTCTGCTGCCTGTATATTCTTGAGTATATGGCCATCCCTAGAGTATGGCTGACCTGGGGGCTACACTCTTTAAGAAAACTGGCTGTCCCTCCCCTAGTAGCTATCAGTTGCCTACAGCTCTTCATCTTGGGTGGGGTGGAGTTCATACTTACGTTCCCTCTTGCATACTTTAAGTTTGTGCAGGTTTTGTGAATGCTATCATAACTATTGTGAGCTCACCTGTGCTATTGCCCATTCTGTGTCTAGAAAACACTGCTTATCTGTAGTCATATGCTGCCTCTGGCTCTTACAAGCTTTGTACACCCTCTTCTGCAATGTCCCTGAGCCTGTGAGGAAGGGGCACAATGTAGATGTCCCATTTAAGGACTGAGAACACTACAGTTTTATTCTCAGCACCTTGACCCATTGTGGGTCTCAGCATTAATCACCCTCTACAGCAAATAGAAGCTTCTCTAACAAGGGCTGCGAGATATATTGTTCTACGGGTATAAGGATACATTATTAGGAATTGGTTTAATACTATGTCTGTTTAGTAAAATAATAGTAGTAGTTTCTCCCTTAGGGCCTAGCATGT